GTGTTGAATTTTAACACAATATCAACACAATATTAAAATCAATAATTAATAAAAAATACAATATTAAGCTAAATACTCAAATACTATAGAATTATAATTAGTTACTTTCTTATTTTTATGTTATTGATAAAAAATGCGTTCCCTGACTTAGGTGAACAGGCCTTTGGTGTGCCTTGTTTTATGTCACCCACTTGCCGCCCTACGGGAGCTCTCTCAAGGTCGGAGCGCGAGAGACATCTCCTTGGCTGTAAAAGTGTGTTTAACCCGTGCGTTCCAGGGTTCCTGACCAATCGGATAAATACTGATTATCTGGTATATTATATTTTATTATTTTAGGTATATTTTAGCTGTAATTAGCTATAAAAAGACCTGTACTACTAGTACTAGTAATCTCTACTTATACAAAGAGCTATATTATAAAGTATATAGCTATAAATACTTTACCTAATAGGAGGAGATCTTACTATATTAGAGTTAATTTCCCCTAAAGGGGCTCTTTTTAAATATTTTGTAGTTACTTTCTCCCTAACCTTATAACCCTAATAGCTCTAGTATCTTTCTCTTTTCTCTAGCTTAATATAATTATACTATAGTAGCAGTATAAATTTATCTCCTAGTTATAAATAAATCCTAGATTAACTGGTTAGATAAAAAGCCTTAATAAGAGACTTTATAAAGGTATTCTACTAGGTAGTCTAATTAGTAAATTACTACTAATTAGGATTATTATTATACTGTAAGATATATATATTAATAAGAGTTATATTAAGTAGAAAGATCTAAGTAAGAGTTTATTAAGCTCTCTAGTAAATATAATAATTATAGTTTATTTCTACTTAAAGCTAGTTACTAATATTAACTAAATTTATATAATAATTATAACTAATAGTAATAGTAGGGATTTTAAACTCTTTAGAACCCTTATTACTAAAGAACTCTTTTATTTACCTTACTTAAGTATATATTAAAGTTAGCTACTACTACTTTATAATCTAATATTTACTTCCTTTATAATATAAGCTTATAAAGAGTATAAGTATATTATCCTTCTAAACTATCTATTAGATAATTTTATTATATATTAGAGTAGCTTTAAGCTAATTAAAATCCCAGATTAACTTTTCTTTATTATTAAGCTATTTAGTTTAAATAAATAGAGGGTAAATTCTGCTATTAATATATACTATACCTATTACTATAAAGCCTCTATTATAAAGAGTATAGATAAGGTTAGCTATTATAAAGAGATTATTAAAGAAGATATAATATATATTTATAAGAAGGGCTATTATAAGGTTTAATATAATATCTTAGGTCTCTATAAGCCCGTTAGAATATAGATTCCTATATATTCTAATAGGAAAGATAGAGACTAGGATATAATATCTCTAATAGAGGAAATAGCTTCTTTATATAATAACCTAAGCCTTTAAGCCTATTAGAATAAGCTTTATTAGAAGTATTATAATAGCCTAACTTCTACCTATAAAGTATATTATATACTTATTAATAGTAACTTTATTACCTAGATAAAATAGCTATATTATAATATATTATATATAATCAGACTACTTACAGATTCAGAAGAGTATATACTTATTATTATCCTTAATAGCCTTAGACTTAGAGAATAGGAAGATTTATATATATTACTAAAGAAGCTAATATTAATAATAGGGTATATATTTTATTATTAGATAAATTAGAAAGAGATCTCTAAGATTAGAAGTCCCCCAGTAACTAGCTATCTTCCTTTCTAGGTAAATTCTAAGTAAAATAATAACTATAAGCTATATATAGATCTCTATAATAAATATTAGCTTCTAATTATAAAGCTATACTTATAGCCCTAAAGGATTATAACCTGGGATATTCTTATTACTACGAGCTAGCTGGTCCTATATATATTTATTAGTCTAATTAACCTATTACTTAATAAGGTTAGTAGGGTAAAAGTACTAGAAAAGCTGGACCAGGGTCTCTAGAAGAGGCTATATAATTAGGCTATATTAGAATAGCTTAAAGGGTTAAAATTTATATTTATTAAGAGGTTATATAGGCTGTATTATTATATATACCGGGTATAGCCGAGGTAGCTGAGCCCGTTATATTATTACTTATAAGACCAGCTAGCTTAAGAGGTTATTTATAAGGTATATCTATCTTCAGTAGTTAAAGCGCTATAATTAGGTGCTAGGCCCTCTGTATTTATTTATTTTGGAGGTTATGATATATACCGCGTTATTAATAAGGTGTGTGTAGGGGTGTGGGGGCATTAAATACACTTTCGCAGCCAAGGAGATTTGGGCCGTCCTGCATTGTTAGTCAGCCTAATTTATCGGAACGCGTCATGAATCTCAATCAAAGAGGCGTTTTGGACCGCCACATGTTTGATTTTGGCTCGCCAAAAAACCCACTCGACGCAGACATTTGGAAGAACCAAGATCAAGATCGCCATCAATGACGAGAGGAGCGTGCGCGACTATTCGCGTTTCTTGGGGCTGGCGGTAGGGTTGCAGTCTCCCCAATCATCTGGCACCATAAACGCGATTGGCTCCATCACCTATAGCATCGCTCATATTTCTTCCAACGCACATATCCTCACCGAATCTGGACACATCACAACGAGACCTGGCTTCCAGCTGTGGTTGGTGGACGACCATCTGCCGAGGGCAGCCAGGTGAGTATTATTGCGCCATGCAGAGCCAGCTGGCAGATCATTGGGTGTTTACTCGCAGCTCTTGCATTAGCTGCTCCTGGTCTAATTGGGATGGCACAGACCTCTTTCTACAGACATATGTTTGCTTTTGTGGCCTCGCCTCGATCTATTATGCAATCAATGTCTAACGCCAGCGCCCAGCCATCAATACGAAGGGGTGGAATCAACCAGCTGGCTGGCCAAGCAAGATATGATCCCTTCCCAGCCTGCGGTATCATAATAGGCCTCGTACGTGGTGAGACGATAGCGCCCGGTACTAATACTGGTTTCAGTAAGCCAGGCTCTGAACTGTTCAAGCTTCTGGTGGTCTGACGCCCTTAATTGCTGGGTCCCCTTCCTTTGGGGACTGGCCCTGGTCGTCTTTGGTAGGATCCCTGTTCCCCAAGATTGCGCTCTCCCGTTCAAGACACGCTTGACCCACAACGTGGCCGCAACTAGAGCCAAGATTGGCATCTGAGTGGACGCTCCCATGGCCGTTGCCTGCACCGACGCACCTCGTCCTGGTCGCTTCTGGCCCAAGGATGCACTCGAAAGAAAACCAAAAAAGCTAAGCCCGGGCCTGTGGCTTTTTTTGCGCATTTCGTTCCCTTGACCACCGGCTGTCCTGTGCGTCAGGAACTCTCCAGGTTCCGTGGTGGGCCGTATCCGCACATATACACGACCCTACCATATGTGCGGTGATGATCGGATTCAAAGAACTGTCGCAGGGAAGCTATGTCTGGTGTCTGGAAGAGAGCACACAAAGCCCACAGTCTGACACATGGCTGGAACACGGCTCTAGAGTTTGCGTCGTCCAGTGTGTACTCGCATGCGCCCTGGAAGGGGCTGTGTGCATGTCTCTGTCAGAATTTCTATCACTTGGTGGCCCCTTGCCTTGTCGCATTCTGAGTCTTGTCCTTGCAGCTCAGATCCTTCTCACCAATCAAGCCTTTTAGCCTCTCCTTGCCTGCGTGTATACGCACCAGCGGTTTTTATGTTTCCACCCTCCTCTGTCACCAGTCCTGCATCATTATGGGGCCTGCGGCGGCGTCATCCTGAAGGACATGGGCAGACAGCGCTCAGCGAAAGAAAATAAAAACATACTAACCCAGGTATGGCTAGGCCTCAATTTGTCCTCACAGTAGCTGGTAAAGCCTCATTGGAGGAGCATACATGTACACGCGGTGAAACTCGGCACAGCTGCTCGGTCGATTTCGCAGGTGAAGCAGCACTTTACGCTTTCCCTTCCCAACGGCCCGGTCAGTAGGCACGAGGGAGGATGGAGCAGTAGCGGTTCACCTTCGGACCTTCCCTGCCCGTTGGCCCCAGTCTGGCGCCGTTTGTCTTGGTACCTGCCTACCACCCAAAGTGATCCACCGACGCAACCCCCAAGGCCCACTCTAATCTTCTTTGGGCACTGTACCTGCACTATCGTAGCCGCCATTTCCCCCATAGCTCCATTTCCCATCGACTCCCAATTCTCGCGACTCAGTGCCGTCAAACTCGATTTCTCTTCTCTCTTCCTTCCTTCCCCTCCCATCCAGCCGTGCCCTAGTATTCGGAGAGCTTCATCGTCTGGCTCCCCAAATCAGGGCGACAAGAAACGACTTTATGACAGGCACGAGTCGAGTCGTCTAGTTTTGTGGCCCCCACCCCTATACAGCAGCAACTCACCAACCTCCGCCTCCTGTCTTCCCCCGACTTAGGAAACCACAGGCACGATTGGGCTGCTCTCTTTCGCACCTCACCTTCCTTGGGCCTTTTCGCTTCGTTACTCTCGCTTACCGTTCCTGGTCTCAACTCCCTCTTATCGCCTATCCGCCTACCTAATAATTCCGACGCACCTGCTTTGCTTGCAGCATTAATCATTACGATCTTGGCCTACTCCGCCTCGCCCGTCAACAACATCCAGACGTCCAATTGTTTTCTCCTCACCACTTTAGCAGACGGATAACTTTGGCTCGAGAGGTGGCATACGGCTAGGAAGCTAATTTTTCTTTCTTTCTTTTTTGGTTACGACTATTAATCGACAAAAACAACAAATACCACATCGAGAATTACCTGGGCCAGCAACACATTACATAGCGGTGGGCTTCGACAACACCTCCTATCGCATCGTTCATTACGTTTTTGGGACCAATTCCTTCATTTTACCCGCTGTTCAAAGTCGTCTCTGCCCTACGGATTATGAGACAGCAGCCGACCAATTGTCTCTGAAGCAGATATTTGTGCGACGACCCATCGGACCACCGGTACTGCATCTACTTCTCGTTGATTCGCAAGCCAGACACATTCCTCAACAATGGGCCGTGGACGGGTTGAAAGACGGCGCAATGCCGCGTTGCTGACGCTTCTTTCTCTGTCTTCCCTCGTTACAGCTCAGTCTAGCTGCATTTCACTCCAGAATTCTAGCGCTTGTCCGGCATTCAAGACAGCCTCCATTTCTCGAGATGATTTGAAGAAGGAATTGTGAGTCCCCCCCCTCAATTCTTTTTGGACCAAAAGAAGCTAATTTGATCCTAGTCCATTCCTCGAATATGTCAAGGACACTTCGTCATTTGATGATGCTTTGTCCAACTATGTCAAGACGACATTTGTCCATGAAAAGTGGGAGCATTCTGAAGATCATTACCTGGATAATGTCAGCGCTAACATGGATCTAGATATCAAAATCTTTTCGGTTGCGGTGAAATTGACCTGACCAATACAACCACCTGGTATGCTCGTTTCACGACCACCGTTATGTGCAATGCATTGGTCCAGAAATCGATCAACGCCTGCTCGTTGTCTAAAGATCAGTCACGCTCGATTTGCGCCGATGGGTGTGCTGAATTTGCGCAGAGTGAAGCCTACTTGACATCTGATAGGGAATTATGTTCCAATCCTAAGAGCAACTTGGACTCCTTGATCAGAGCAGATTTCGCCACATGTTCAGAACCATTATCGGCGTTGGCAGGAAGGACATGCATCAATCCATCGGACAACGAAAAAGAAAATTGCGGATTCGGCACAAGCACAATCGGACTATGCGCTTATTGTTCTGATACCAGCGTCAACTCAACCGACACCTGCTGCTACAATTCCAACACTGAACAGAGATGCCAGGGCATCAAGCTACCGGTGATCAGCACCACAATGTCCTTCGGCACCCCAACTGGGACTGCCTCCCCGTCCAGCACGGCCGACCCAAGTGGTAGTGGTCAGGGTGGTAGCAGTCTTAGTGGTGGCGCCATAGCTGGCATCGTCGTTGGTGCTATCGCGGGCCTGGCCCTTCTTGGCGTTGTTTTATTTTTCTGCATCCGCAGAATGAAGCGATCCAAGGGGAGCCAGTCAGGCAGTATTTTCAACCAACCATCCCCAGCAAGGAAAGGTCCCCCGAGCATGACTCATGTGCCTCAGGAAGCCCCTCAAGGATACGAAGTTTTGCCTGGAGGACGTATCGCACGTATGTCGGCTTTGGAAGGTCACTCTGGAGATTCCTCGTCTCAACATCATGGCAAATCAATGTCTGCTACAGGAGGTAGCATGGCCGCTGGGTACGCGGGTGGCCGTCGGAAAGACAGCCAGACCCAATCATCATCTGAGTTTGGTGATGACTCGGAGCCCCGGATGAGTGTGTTGCGACCACCTCCTTCGACGACAAGAAGAAATGGGTCGCTGTCGAGTAACTCCATCTTTGGAACCTCGGTTCCACAGTCACCCAGTAGCGCTGGTGCAGCATCACCTCTGGGTGTGGGTAGCCAACAGTCTGAGCAGCTGCCATACTTCAAAGATTACTATTCCCAGGATGACATTCATCCCGGTGATTCAGTTGCTGTTCTCTGGGCCTACCAACCACGTGCCACAGACGAGTTCGCTCTCGAGAGAGGTGATATGCTCAAGGTTGTTGGTATCTGGGACGATGGGTGGGCGACGGGTGTGCTGACTGGTGAGCGTGCGGAGGAATGGGAGGCAAGAAGGGAAGCTCAACGTGACAGTGGGGTGTCGCATGCATCTGGACGGCGGGACAGCTCAGCTGCAACATCTGGGGAGATCAAGGCGTTCCCTCTGGTCTGTGTCTGCTTGCCAGCGCACTGGAGAAAGACGATAGAGGGCGACGGCTCGACAGAGACTGGCTCCACCAGCCACAATCCCTACGCAGCCTTGGCTTGATGAACTCTTCTACAAGTTCTGCAGATCAATGACACGGCCTCACAGAAGACATTCGACATTACCATACACTACAATGACACGCCTAATGCCCATTCTCTTCATTATACGAGCACGAAACTTACTGATTCGATATTGATTGACATTGCATCATGAGCTGCGATCGGCGCAAGATGTCAGCACCACAGGGTGATGCCTCTGGCTGATGGAGATCAGTTTATCCTCGGATTCACTGGCAGATCGCCTCATCCAACCCATTAATTCGATTCGTTTGCCTATTTATCACCTTATATACCCGGCAGCGCTTCTGCCAGCGGAGTTTTGATATTCTAGAGGGATTGGGGGAGCTTCAGCAGCCGACTTACTTGCATACCGACTGATCTCGATGCGAACCGTGGCTTGCTGGTGGACTGACTCGTTTCAAGGCCATCTTGCAAGCATGGAGGAAAGTGTAAAGGAAGACGATCAGAGCAGGAATTATCCACCCGTTGACGTACTAGGTATTTATTTATACTGTTAGACATAGCCTGGCACCCTCGATTTACTTAAGTTTAAATAGCAAGAAGATTTTGATTTTATCCTATTTCTCGAGCTCGAATACATGTGTGACCTGACGTAAATAATAGAAATTACCAATAGGGGGCGTTTGGGCTAAGAGTAGGAAGCAAGTGGGTGACATTGAAAATGAGATACTCAAACATTAAGATGCTTATTCTCAAGTCTGCGACCGGTATTATCAAATTATTGAGTGCCAATAATATATGCTTGAGACAATATGGCAAATATCTTTATTTTCCTTCGTTATTTCGAAAATAAAACCACTCTTCCATTGGGTGTCTCATTTGTCCTGTCACCCACTTGGGGAGTGCTGCCGTTGATGCCCATTGCCAGGACTTAGTGGAACGGATCTACGTCTAGGGACTAGGCGGGGTAGCAGCCAAGCCTGATCGATCTCCCCAAACTGTGAAACTTTGACCTCCAGCACTGCCTTCAATTGCATATTGTTTTGTTTTGTGCTACATAAACCACTTTCTTTAAGTTATAATCCATTGTAGGGTTACCTTTTCGACACTGCACACATCTGCCCTGTCCAGCCCAGCATGACAGACCAGGTGAAGGCTGACGCGGAGGCCCTGGTGCCAAAATTCAAGTTGGAGCGGGTGCTCAACCAAGGTATGCATTATCACCAATTTTGAACCATACAAACCCCCCTGTGCAATTGTGACCTATCTCTTTCTCATATATGGGTGGATGATAGAAGGAGTTTTATTTAAAAACCTAACTTGTCTCAGACCAGGCTGGGAGACGAGCGTCGCTGTACGGGGCCATCGATGGGAAGCCGGCGCTGCTCGTGCTGGAGAGGGCCCCCTTCCCCGAGTCGGAGGCGTACCTGGGGAGCGTGCCGGCGTCGCTGGCCAGGCTGAGGAACCTGGGGGCCAACGACATCTACCACTGGTACATGGCGAGGGGCGGCGGCAACGGCGAGGGTGAGGGCGAGGGTGAACTCTTCGCGGATCTGAAGATCAACCTCATCTACCCGTGCACGGAGACGCACGTCAAGAAGTATAGCAAGCAAGGGGTGCGGTTCGTGACCGAGACGCCGGAGACCTACGAGCAACACGTGCGGCCATACATGCAGAGCAAGCGAGAGGCTGGACGCCTTAACTGGGTATTTAATATTCTAGATGGGAAGACTGAGGTGGAGGACGTTATATACAGGACGGCACCGTGGGGCCGGGAGGACGAGAAAGACAAGGAAGGATTCCTGCTGCTGCCGGATCTGAACTGGGACCGTACGACGCTCGAGGCGCTCCACCTGCTGGCGCTGGTCGAGCGGCGAGATCTCTGGTCGCTGCGAGACCTGAAGAAGAAACACGTCGAGTGGCTTCGCCACATGAAGCGGAACCTGATCGAGGCGACGACGAAGACGTACCCTTCCATCGAGGCGGACCAGCTGAAGCTATATGTGCATTACCAGCCCACGTACTATCACCTGCACGTGCATATCGTTCATGTTGCGCTCGAGGCGGGGGCCACGCAGGCGACTGGAAAGGCGGTCGGACTGGAGAGTATTATGGAAACCCTGGACAAGATGGAGGGGGATGAGGAGGCAGGGATGGATGGCGTGTCGATGAGCTTTACGCTTGGGGAGCAGAGCGAGATATGGACGGAGATATTCGAGCCGATTAAGAAGAGTGGTACAGTTTCTCGATCGCAATGACGAGGTCATTGACGCCAGCTCCGTGTGGGCAGTCGATCCACTCGCCGCCATCGCGGATACAGTATGTCTCGTTGTTCAGTCGGATGGTGCAGCTGATGGTTACGCCAGCCTAGAGATGCTATGTTAGAATTCCGGAATAAAGGATAATAAGGATAACGAGGAAAGATAGATATAAAGATAGAAAAAAGTTGGGGGCAAAGAGAGAGCAAGTTCCAAGAATTACCTCAGCTGTTCTTTCGATGCTCGAGCGCAGCAACTGCATACCGTGAGCTCCGTCGTCGCGGGTAGCGCACTCGTTGAGTTGTTGGAAATCGATGGCGTGTTCGAGAGCGCAGTCCTCGATCAGAGACCTATCAGGGATATGCTTATAATCCTTGGTAAGGCACATGACGAAGCCGAGGCTGATCTTGGGATCGGGGTAGAGTTCGCTGGCGCAGAGCTCGATGATGTTGCCCATGCATTCGGAAGGGCCGTGCTTGCACTGGACGCCGTCATTGGCGGTAGGACTGTTGAGAAGAACCAAGACAACCTGTGTAAGCAATAAGGTTTCACCGACAAGGCAACGGGGTCTGGCTCACGTTCCGATATAAGAGAGTCTGAAGTCGACCTTGTCATGTACTCGCATCATGGCTGGGAGGATCAACTCCCGAAGGGCATCCTACGGAAAAGTATATCAGCACCACACCGCTTCACAGGTCCCTTGATGCTTCCTAGAGATCACTGGAGGGCTTACTCTTGTATCTGGGCATTTGCTAATGATGTGCGCCTCCAGAGGCACCAGGGCCTTCTGGTCTACTGGGCTGGATGCCGGTGTGGGGGGAGAAGGCTGAAGTTGGAGGGAGAGGGGTGAGGACAAGGTCCAGGAACGCCATGAGTAGAAGGTGACGGTGAAGAGAATGAAGAGGGCGACTACGGCGCGGACGGACGCGCGTGAGGCGGCCATAATGGGCGAGTTGACGGCGGGTGTGTTGTAGACGTAGGGCGCTTTCTCATCCATCTTGGTCTGGGTAGGTATGGTTGGGGTGAGGTAGTAGGATTGAAGGAAATTAGCTTGGCGCATCTCCGATCGGTCGCCTGGAGAAGATGGGCCTTGGCTGGAGGCTCCAGGCCGACATGTGCTTGTTTTCTGGGCACCTACAGCTCCTGAAACAACCCGACTTTAAGTTTGGTGGCCTGTGCAGCAGTACTGGGTACTGGCAGTAGCGCCTTTGCGCGCTATTGATCAATGATCCATGGCGCTGGTGCAGGTACTTGTACCCGCTGTCAAACCATTCCAAGCCGACGGTATGAGTCTGATGCAATGCAACGGGACTCCCCTCCATTGATTGCACATATACATGGATGGGTAAGGTGTAGCTGATGCGAATGCGTCAAAGGCTATCGGGGGACGGACAGAGTCAAGCTTCTTGTTTGATCCTGCGGTGGAAGGCAAACATCAGGTATGATTGGGCGCCTTTGGTATTTTTCGAGGTATCGATTCCTGGGCCTAGAACTAGCCCAACTCAGCTCACGTCCCGATAGTTTAAGCAAATAGCGTCATATGGTTCTGCTTGGAATGCCCGCTATGATAGATATACTGAGGTGAGAGGTACTGCCAGCCTTAGTTTGACTCGTTGATTGTAGAAGGTACCGCTTCCTGAAGCACCAAGAGAACTATCTGGGGAAGTAGGTGTTTTCAGGCCGAGACACTGCCAATGATCAGCTCATTGTTGAACCAGCCCCGCGCGAGATGATACGTAAGGTTGGGCAGGGAGACAGATACATGTGGCTGTGAGAGGTCATGAGAATTGTCGATGATTTCCGTTTAGGGCTGTTGGTTGTCCATGCGAGTATCAAGCACATCCTGGGTGCCCTCCATCAAAGCAGGAACATGAAGCTTTATTTAGCAGGTTCTGTGACATCTCGCGAAGCTGTATCCCCGATCTGGCAGATCGTCTAGCGGCCGCAAGCGATGAAGGAGGTCGGAAGTAGGTGCTACTGATCTCGGGCGGCAGTGGTTGGTACAGCAGGCAGGTACCACGTACAGCGCACCCTTCCCAATGATCAGCCAGTGGCAGCTGCCGGCAGTTCTGAGCATGGAACGTCACATTGGATTGTTAGTACCTACCTTAGCCACGGAAATACAACCTTGTGGTAGATTCATTCGCAATTCAGCGCACGCGAGCACGCGGCTTGGCTTGGCTCACACAGCCTCATCAGCACCATAACCCCGGTCTGCCCAGCCCAGCAAGTATCTCAAGGACCCTGCGTTTACTTCTTGAGATCCTCAGGCAATTGATACCATTTCATTCCGAGCCGTCTTCATTGATTTTCATTTGACTATCTCGCTACCCTTTGACAGTTAGTCTGCCACCGCCACATTCCGTTCTCGTAGGTACCGGTACCCAACTTACTGCGCCCCCGAGACACGCCGTCTTGTACCGCCAATTGAAGCCCCTCCCTTCACTCTGTCGCCACGCTTCACGCCAGCAAGAAAGGCAGCTGTCACTCTATCTGGAACCTAAAATCTAAAAAAATCATAAACTATATTACGACACCGGCTTGGTGCTCTCGAAAAGCTGCAGCTGCAAAATATTGCGTATTTGACCTTGTCTGCCCCGGTCTCCGAGCTACCCATTCCCCCATCCCGTCTCCTCATCAACTGATTCAACCAACCAGTCGTGAGTTATCAAGCTTCAGCAAAACAACCTGGTCACGTATAACCTTTTCTCTATTCCTTTCACTGCATTTCCAACATGGCCGCTTCCAGGGAGACCCCCATCGAAGGCTTCCTCAAGCCACTCCACGTGAATCTAGACCAGATCCACGACCTCTCCAACAGATTCCTCTCAAACTTTCATAAACTTGCTGCGGAATCTACAGATCAGTTTTTGGGCACACCCATTTCGGAGTCAATCCTGAGACCAGTGAACAAGAAAGCTCAAGGACGGTAAGGTTATGAGCAACAGAATTGGCTCAACACCCGAAAGTGACGACATGTGAGGCTAACATTCAATACTAGACACCTTGCCATAGACATGTAAAAGATGACCCTATCTCGCTAGAGCGTTATTATTTTCATGCCTGCTAACAAATTAATAGTGGTGGTACGAACCTGCGGGTCGGTTTTGTTGAGTTCTGTGGACAGGACGCTACCCAAGCACCCAATGGCGAGCAGCAAAATGGTCTTGCCAAGGAACAACCTGAACGCATCAAGCGGGTTCTAGAGAGATCGTGGCCCATCGCCAATCATCTCAAGAACGAGAATGCCGAAAGGCTGTTTTTCTGGATAGGCAGTTGCATCGCCCAAGTTGTGCGAGAGGGCTGCAAGAAACTGAACTTGCCTCACGACAAGCCTATCCCCTTAGGCGTAACGTTCAGTTTCCCAATGGAGCAGCTGTCTCTCACCGAAGCCACGTTGATGTCGATGGGCAAAGGATTCAATATCCCAGCAAATCTTGACCTTGCATCTCGATTCTTGGCTGGCTACGCAAAAGCCAACGACGGCAGCCTGCCAAAACTCACCATTGCTGCTATCGCCAATGACGCTGTCTCGACTCTCGTGTCATTCATCTTTAAGTACGATGAAAAGCTGAAGAGGAGGGCAGCTATGGGTATCATCCTCGGTACGGGCAGCAATGCTACCGTGCCCCTTAAACTCAGCTCTCTGCATCCAAGCAAGCGCCCTGCAAATGTGAGCATTCTTCCCGGGGAATCTCTAGAAGACGTTAGGATCGCAGTGAACACAGAGTGGAGTATCAATGGCACCCTGCCCCCGATGAGAGAGCTGGGCCTCATCACTCAGTGGGATAAGATTCTGGACGCGCAGAACGAGACCCCCGGCTTCCAGCCCTTGGAATACATGACTGCCGGCCGCTACCTCGGTGAACTGGGACGCATTGTTCTGGTAGACTACATGACCAGTGTCATGAACATCCCTCGAGATACGCTGCCCCAGAAGCTGCTCCAGCGGGAAAGCGTGACTACCACTTTCGTCAGCAACTTTAAACCTCTGGAACCGTCGGTTCTGGTTAGAAAGCTTAAGCAGGAGTTCCCAGAGTCAACAGCCGGGAGCCACTTTGCCTGGACCGAAGAACTCGCCGAGGTCCTGTACAAGATATCCAAGGCCATTGAGATTCGAGCAGCTGGCATTATTGCAGCCGCTACCGTGGCCCTGTTGATGGTGGCCGAGGAACTCCCACAGGATGCTTCAGGCCTGAGACCCAACATGGAAGAGCTGGGCGTGGGTTACACTGGCGGCTGCATAGTCCACTTCCAAGACTATCTCGCAGATTGCCAGAAGTTCCTGGATGACCTTCTGGACAAGCGATATGGCGGCAACGGAACACATGGAGCCAAGGTGGTACTGAGCCCCTGCCATGATGGAGGGATTGTAGGCGCTGGTATTCTCGTCGAGGCTGCGATCCCAAGTGAGAATGCCGAGACTTGAGCTCAGTAGTGCCGAGGGCATAACTTCTACGTGTTGTGCGTGCTCTCTAGAAAAGGGTAGCCTTAGAAGAATACATCGATCCATGTGAAACCCAATGGTTGTTTTGAGGATATCAAGAGGACTTTCAGCCAGGTGAAGGTCATTTAATGCCTTGATATTGTCATGCTGTAGAGAAATCGCCCGATTCAAACAGGTTATGAAATGGATCTGGGAGGTTTGGCCCGAGTTCAACTGATATTACCTATCCACCAGATAGTGCCAGACTCAAAGAATCATCACATTCAACATGATTGGCTTCGCAAGTAGTATGTGTGTGTGGGATATACTCCCACCCCCAAATTGAATTGCATTGCTCCCCTTGAAATGAATTTTGGCACATTATTATTTTACAAACGCCCGTATCCCAGATGGAAACAATTTCCCCCTCCTCAGTGAGCACCGTTGACCTGCCCATTGGTCACCAGAGCATCTAGCTCCTCCTTCGCTAGTCGATACGCATCCTGCGCCTCCCTCTCGCGGCGGTTCACAGCGCCGACCTCCTCCCTCAGGCTGTCGAGGCGACGGGCGATGGCCACCTCCTCAGAGATGGCGAGCGTCTTGAAGCCGCTGAGGGCGTTCCTCGCCTTCTCGAGGGCGTCGGCCGCCTCGGCGGTCTTGTCGCGCAGCATCTTCTGACGCTTCTGGTAGCCTCCCAGGTGCAGGGCGAGCTTCTTCTCGAGCTTGGCCCCTTGCTCGGCCGAAGCCATGATGGAATCCTGCACAGACTGGAAATAAACGCATGTTAGCGAGCTGCTTCTTTGAATACGGAATCGCATACCTGGATCGAGTATGACGGAATGGGGGAAAAAGGTAAACTTACATCAAAGGCTAGCCTGAGAGCAGCGTGATGCTCCTCCTCATCGTCGTCATAGCATCCCAAGCTAAGGAGAGTGGCGTTGTTAGAGCGACTTTCGAAGGTATTCTGGATATCGGAAAAGGAGGGCAGAGATTTCGTCTCTGACAGAATGAGAAGACGGGCGTTGGCAAGGGATTCGTCGTCGATAATTGGGACAGGCACGTGCTTGCCTCTGAGCTTGGAACCCGGCAGAGGGTATTTTGAAGCATCATTGGCCATCAGCTTGGCCGCTTCCTGAGCGATGAGGGTCTCAGCCGGATTTGACAATCCCTCCGCCTTGCTCAGCATGGTTGGTAAATCGATGAGTAGAGGCCGGGGTAGGCTTTTCTGCATCACCTGTGTCCGTCTCCGCAGCTCGAGAGCTTCCTCTGCCGCTCGTCTTTCCTCGTTCCTACGGTCGCGCTCTGCAGCGTCCTCCTCCAGTAGATAGTCGTTCGATTTCGATTCTGCCTCTTCATCTGGAATCTCGAATTCCCACTCTGAATCCTTTGGCTTTGGAAGAGACGCTAGGCTGGAGCGGACGGATTTCCTCAAGGCAAAATCACGCATCCGAATGTCTCGGGGTGTAGCCGAGGCCATCGATGAGCCGTCGTCTTGGTTCAAGGCGTATGCATCACGAGGAGTCCGCATTGGTGTTTGACCAGGCTGGCCGCCCACACCGTTGCGAAGGGGGGTAGCCATAGGGTTTGGTGTTGATATGACCTGTCTGCGAGGTGCAATACCCTCGAATCCAGTCCCCTGGGCTTGATAAAGAGGTGTGTTCTCGCCACCAAGAAGAGCGGATTGGGTCTCGTTTAATGCGCGGATGTTTCGAATCTCGTTGGCGATGTAGTCTTCCGCCTCGGGGGCCTTTGGCGTACGGATAGGAGCCGTGTTGTTTATGGCGGAATATGAATTGACCAAGCCTCTCGTAGCATCATTATCGCCTTCTCTGGCCAGCGTATTTGCTGTCTCTCCTAGTTTGCCCATTTTGATGATCTCTTCCAGTTCCCCCTCGCCGACCTGCGGCGCGGGAAGGTTGAGCGATCGTCGCTTGCTGCTTTGCTCTGCTTCTCGGATCTTTTGCATCTGCCCAGCCTTGATTGCTGCTTTCTGCGATTCAGACAGACCATCCTTCTCATTCTTACGTCGCTTGCGATCATTATCGTCATCTCCATCCCCCTTTCGTTTACTCGTCAGCAGCTGCTTCGCGGGGTCGAAAGCTGTTCTTTGTTTCTCGTTAAGCACTTGCTCTTCGGCTGTGTCGTAGAATCCAAGCGCCGGTTTCTTCTCGAATGGAATGTCGGCATTGTAATCCATCTCCCCCTTCTTGCGAGTCGTGACCTTGATGTTGATACCGGCCGTCTTCAACTCACGTCGCTTCTGCAGGGTGGCGAGACGGCGCGACTCCTCCTGTTGACGCTCACGAGCCTTTCTCTTCGCCTTCTTACCCTGGGTGTTGGCAAGACGCGCCCGAGCCTCGCTCAGCATCTCCTTTTCGTCTTCATCGAGATCGATCGTGTCGGGGCGCGCAGGTTTCGTCTCCGGATCAGGGTCGAGCTCTCCCGGGCGCAGGCGCCTCACATCGTCTGCGCTGGGCGCCTGGGTCTCTCCGCCCTCGGGGCCGGTGAGGCCAAGCCCTGACGACTCGCGGGCTTCGGCCTCATCCAGCAACTTCTGGTATCGCTCGAGGCACTGGTTCGCGGTTCGGCCGACGATTGGGGCGATCGTGCGCCACTGGGTGGGCATAATCTTCGCGAGGTGCAGGAGCTTCTCATCCTCCTCCTTGCTCCATTCGATCTTCTTGATGCCGGGGTCGAGCCACTCGTTCCATCGCGCTTTGCACTGTTTCGGGGTCTTACGCGCCAGCAGCGACGAGACACGCGCCCACTGGTTGAGGCCATACTTGGACACGGAGGCCTTGAGGATTTCATCCTCGATGTTCGTCCACACTCCTCCCTTGACGACGGGCATCTTGGCGGCTCGGGGGTTGATGGAGAGGGGTGGAAGAAATGTTGGCTGCCTCGAGTCGTTCGGCCCAGCCTTGCAACAAAATCCCAAGCTTTGGCTCACAAGCTTGCCGTCTAGTTTATTCTGCTTAGTCAGACTACCAGGGCTGCAATTGGCTGCTGCTTCGGTTTGACATCTCGCGGCTGAATCGATGTCTGGCCCCACTTTAACTGACTTGATTGGCTTCCAGCGAAATGCAGGGTCAAGTGCCTGGCGTCGGCATATGGCCGTCAAGATGTTCAAGACCTGAGGTTACCTATAACTATTCGTACTTTGGTAGGCATAGGCTCATCCTCCCTACATTACTTTCGAGATATCTTGCACGAAAAAAGCTTCAAAGAAAATCGCTATCTCCTTTACTGAGGCTCGTATCTAGAGGGCACGTGCAGCTGCCGACAACCAAGTAAACAAGCCGAACTGGACGCATTTGCAGGAATCCGATATATTGCGTGAGGGCCTTAAGATCCACGGGAAGTAGAAGATAGATTATTCGTCTTGCATCGGGTGTACCATCATCTTTCTAGAAGAAGCATTCGTTCTGTTAACCCAGTGGATCGGGACTGGCGGTGGCTGCAAGCGATTAGATAGTGGGGTCTTGGCTGAGTCATATCCCAACGCGGTTCTCACATGCGTCAGTCGCGTTAAGTAGCTTTTTTTTTCTCCCCGCCGTGATTCTGAGATTTTCTTCCTCCTCCCCCCCAAAACTACCAACGAAAATTTTTGACAACATACCGTCAAAATGAAATACGTTCTAGTTTCGGGAGGTTAGTGCTGGCTGAACTGCTGTACATGCTCAAAAATGTTAACCAAATGGTCGAAATAGGTGTCATCTCCGGTGTTGGCAAGGGCATCATCGCCTCCAGCACTGGTCTTCTCCTCAAGTCCATTGGTCTCACAGTCACGAGCATCGTACGTTCAGCGCAGTTTGGCTCCCCTTGTGTAACCTGTAGAAGCATACAATATACCCTTGATTTATCTTGCGATCCAAATCTCACTGTCAAATCGTAACAAAACATTCTTGCTCACCGTGCTGACAATAAATTTTCCGTGAACCCAGAAAATCGATCCCTACATCAATATCGATGTAAGTAGGCCATGATCGATTCCAAATGCCCCAAATTTCTAACCCAATGGCACGATAGGCTGGAACTATGTCTCCCATCGAGTTCGTACTGCGCCTGTAGCTTCCCACGACTGACGTACTGACTTGTTACCCTCCAGACATGGTGAGGTCTACGTAACAGATGGTATGTCTGCACCCTAGAAAGAAGGTATTTGCCGAGATTGCTTGCTAACTGGATATTAGACGGAGGAGGTATGAGTTCTCACAAAGCTACTATTAAAGTAAGGCTGTTAGTTGCTTACACGGCCTAGAAATGGATCTCGATCTCGGAAACTACGAAAGATACCTCCTCACTACACTCACCAGAGACCACAACATCACGACTGGAAAGATTTACCAGCACGTCATCGAGCGTGAGCGTATTGGAAAGTATCTGGGAAAGACGGTCCAAGTGTAGGTTCCGTGTATTCGGTGAGGTGATGGACATTTGCTGACGACAGTAGCGTTCCTCATATCACCAACGCCATTCAAGATTGGATTGAGAGGGTTGCCAAAATTCCAGTTGACGAGTCTGGCCGTGAGCCCGACGTCTGTATCATTGAATTGGGTATGTTGGAATGTTCCCAGGGTCAAGTCGAAAGCTAACACTCGCGATAGGTGGTACTGTCGGAGATATCGAGAGCGCTCCGTTTATTCATGCCGTCAGTCAACTTCAAAGACGTGCTGGCAAGTCGAATTATGCACAGATCCACGTATCATACGTTCCAGTTATACCGTAAGGATACAATTTGGCGACCCGGTGCTCATTGGTACTGATCGCTTTCTAGACCGGGACCTGGTGGTGAGCAAAAGACAAAGCCCACTCAAAGGGCCGTTGGCGACGTCCGAAGCGCTGGCCTCAACCCAGACCTGGTTTGTGGCTACCCCCTCCCTTCCAAGAAGAAACGAACTTGAATTAAACGGACTCCCTTCGATTAGATTGCCTGTCGCTGCGAGCAGCCGCTTACCGAGACCACCATCGAGAAGATCGCCAACATGTGCCAGATGGAGCGAAAGCAGGTCATTGCTGTGCACAACGTATCGACAACATACCACGTCCCGCTGCTCCTCGAGAAGCAGAAGCTGGTGAACACGCTCATCGAGCTCCTCGATCTTGGGGCCGTGCACAAACCGACCGAAATAGTTGACAGGGGCGCCGAGATGTGGAAAACCTGGATTGACTTGACTCGCGGCCAGGATAACCTGCACGACACGGTCTCGATTGCTCTCGTTGGCAAGTACACATCGCTTCACGACGCTTATACGAGTCTTTCCAAGTCGTTTGAGCATTCTGCCATGTACTGCCGTAAGAAGCTTAAGATGATCTGGATCGATTCGGGACATCTCGAGGACGAAACATTGGAGGTCTCTCCTGCGCAGTTCCATAAGGCTTGGCACGACCTCTGCACTGCAGACGGTGGTAAGTAGTTGCAACAGTATTAACGTTGGGGTGATGGAAGGCTAAATTTCTCAATAGTATGCGTCCCTGGCGGGTTTGGTGCTCGATCTACCCTGGGCATGATGAAGGCAATTACATGGGCGCGTACTAAGAAAGTTCCCTTTTTGGGCATCTGTCTCGGCATGCAACTTGCCGTTCTTGAATATGCTCGCAACGTCACAGGAATCGAGGATGCAGGAAGTGAAGAACTGCACCCAGAGGCTAAGAACCATGCCATCGTTTACATGCCAGATGTATGTTCTTTCGCTCCTATCTTTCTTCATTCTGTCACATATTGACACAGATTATTAGGTCGACAAGTCGAAGCTGGGCGGAACAATGCGTCTAGGAAAGCACCCCTGTATCTTCCAGGAGGGTACTGAGTGGTCCAAACTGCGGGCTCTGTACGGATCTGCACCCCAGATTCTGGAGCGCCACCGACACCGATATGAGGTCAACCCAGGCATGGTTGAACAGATCGAGTCGTCTGGCCTCGCTTTTGTGGGCAAAGACACCAAGGGTGAGCGTATGGAAATCATCGAGATCAAGGACCACCCCTGGTTCGTCGGAGTTCAGTTCCACCCAGAATACTTGAGCCGAGTTCTATCGTGCAGCCGGGTAAGTCGCTCCTCTTTATCCTCTATATTGTAGTCAAGGACTGACAAATCGCATAGACGGTTCTAGGATTCTTCGCTGCCTCCGCGGGCTGCCTTGATGAGGTTACGGAAAGATTAAACAGAGAGGAATAGTTTGTTACGAACTACGTGAGCTGAGCGTGGGGATAAACGCGGATGGCTGATAGAGTATCTCGATTGATGTTACACACTAATACCAAGAATATGTCCGGGAAACCACTTGTCTATGGGTGGTACATTTTTATAGAAGCAATCAATAGAATTTTTGACTACGCGTGTGACCACACTCTCACGATTGGGGAAATGAATACCTACGTCATGGGTGTAAAACGCGTAAAGTGCCTGGTAAATCGAAAAGATGACTGCACATGCTGTGCGACTCGTACCTGCATCAGCTGTCAAGGGTGCATGGATCGATAAACGACATGCGATGGAGGTGATCAGAACTCACACACATCGCTTTCTGATACAAAACCAAAAGTGGCTGTTTCATAGGCATGCTGCCCTTCGCTGGGTCTCGACTGCAATTGGAGAAGCTACAGGTGCCGTTGGGCTCGGACTTCAATCCCGGTGCGGAGCGATCAAGATGATGCTTAGAAATCTGATCTATCTCAAAACGATGCGACAAGGATATGGTTGGCTAGGGTAACGCCCACGTTATCTATCGGCTACCTTGCCAAGCTGCCTACCTAGATAGGACATGTCGTATGGACTATGTCATTGATTTGTTGGCACCTGGATCCATGTTTCGAAAGCCATTCCGGTCGAATGCGATGATATGATTGAACCCGCAGGGAGAAACAACACTTCTCCGACCAACGACTCAAGGGAGCATCATTACGTGCTGGCGATTGATTAGCACACGACTCTGATTCCCCCCACTCGGAACCGCTGCTCAGGCGTCCCGAGGAGCCGAGCCCAAGATTGATCAAATCCGCCCTCTAACTCCGCTGCTCTGTGTCTGTGTTAGCTGCCGCTCGGCGACTTTAGTATCTATTGCGTCCTTGATTTGATCCCTGGCGTCTTTTCCCTACAATACGCTGCGTCCCCCTTGCTCTGGAACCCCTCCCCTTTTCCTTCGTTGCTTCATTGCTCCCTAATTATCATCACATCTTGCGCAATATTAGTAGGCACGCCGGGCTGGGAAAAGGGATCGGAATGCACAAGCCCGGACTTTGTCGGCGCCAGTGATACGAACGGTCAGCACCCGTTTAAACCCCGACATCCGGACCTCTGGTATCAACGGCCGGCCGGCCTAGTTGGAAGGTAAAAGTCGCCTCTTATTCTTCGTTGGGCGTGCTTCGGGAATAGACACACAATGGGACGGGCAGGTGCGCCAAGCATCGATGATGCGACAACTTGGCGCAAACGCGCCTCCGACAGCGCCACGGAGGTGGACGCGACGGAAACCACTGCGCTCCTCAGCCCCGACAATGAGGGCGGGAGCACCGGCGGCTCAGGGAAGAAGGCGGATCGATGGGATGGCTTGGACGACTTCGTGGATACGCCCTGGTGGCGCAAACCTTCTGTATGAGGCCCTCTATTGTTCCCCCTTGGCCAATGCTGTGGTCTGCATGAGATGTCAGCGGTCCTCTAACAATGAATAGGTCTATTGGCTTCTCGTCCCTTACTTCATCTTTACCTTGGCGTTTGGTGGCGCCTTGGTTCCCAAGCTCAACTTGTATGTTCTGCCTCTGCAAATGGACCATATTCGGGAGCAAGCGTATTAATGTTGAGATTGATCAGAATCCTATCCTTCATCTGTAAGGAGCACTTCAATCAGAGCGATTCCGACCCGCCCGCTCTCCCCGTCTTCATTGGGGGCGAAAACCCCCAGTGCAAGATCCCGGAAGTTCAGAGCAAAGTGGCAACCTTCACCCTCATCATGAACTTCTTGACCGGGCTGTTGAGTGCTATCGTCGTGCCCATCTTTGGCTCGCTTTCGGATAGGTATGGCCGCACCCGGCTGATGGCTCTGGCCTCGTGCGGCGGCGTCCTCGCCGAGATCATCACCCTCCTTGCCGCCAAGTACCCGGATGTCATCAACTACCGCTGGCTCATCTTGGGCAGCGTGTTTGACGGCATGACCGGATCCTTCACCGCCGGCAGCCTCCTGACGCAGTCGTATACCAGCGACTGCACCCCGCCGTCTAAGCGTGCAGTGTCCATTGGCTATCTCCACGCCTGCCTCTTCACCGGACTGGCGTTTGGACCTCTTTTGGCTGGGTACTTTGTCAAGTGGACGGGGAGCTTGCTCTCCGTCTTCTATGTTATTGTCGCCTGCCATATCCTCTTCATTTTCTTCGTGGGCCTGGTCATTCCGGAATCCCTGTCAAAGAGAAGACGATCGGTTGCGCAGGAGATTTGGGCCAAAGGATGGCAAGACAGAGCCCAGTCATTTGTACCGTGGGTGTCGAGGGTCAAGGGCGCGAACCCTCTCGCACCTCTCAAAGTGCTCTGGCCCACTGGCCCCGGAACTTCAGCTCGCCTCCGGCTCAACCTGGTGTCGCTCGCAGTATCAGACATGATTATTCTTGGGTCATCGGTAGCCGTAGGGCCCGTCATAATCCTCTACAGCGAGTACAGGTTCGGATGGGGCACGCTGGAGGCGTCCATATTCGTCTCCGCCGTCTCGCTGACTCGCACAGTCATTCTTCTGATCATCTTCCCTGCAGTGAATTATTTTGGGCGCGTTCGACCTGCGCAGCGCCGGCGAGCGCTCGGCATAGTCTCCCACGAGACCAACTCCGGCGCCGACAGCCTCGACGTATGGGTGATTCGTGTCGCAACAGCGGGGGAGGTCCTTGCCTGCATTGGGTATTCCTTGGCCCAGAATGGCCACGCATTCCTCATCAGCGGCATGTTGGCAGCCATGGGCGGGCTCGGCAGCGCCAGCATCCAAGCAGCCATCACCAAGCATGTGCCCTCGGACAAGGTCGGGCAGGTCCTCGGCGCGATAGGTATGCTCCATGCGCTCTCCCGAGTCATTGGACCCCTTGCGTTCCAGGGCCTCTACGCCGCAACGGTCAAGACTCTGCCGCAGGCGTTCCTCATGGTTCTTGGGGGCTTGTTCTGTGTAGCTTTCACGGGCGCCCTACTTCTTAAACCTCATGGTAAGTTCCCAATCTTCCCATCTCACGTTACGACATATTTGCTAACCTGAAACCCCCTCAAGTTCATTGGACCACTCAAGGTGAAGAAGAAGAGGAGACGGAACAATTAACCCCGAGCGAGGAGATTTTGGGTGCGAACTCGCGACACACCCTCCCCATCGATGAGGACCAAGTGACTATGCGGTAGGGGAATAATTCTTGATGGATACCTGTTTTTTACATACCTACCCCGGAACTGCGTGTGGATATATAGTTTATATTTTGGATTAGACTGGCGATCGTACATCTCAGCTAGCAATGTTTATATCATTAGAGAGAATTTCATATATTTCATCAGCATACCTGGGAGAAACGAACGTACAAATGCCCATCCCAACCAACTTTTAATTGCTTTTGCTAAAGAAGGTAGAATAAAGTAGTTACGGCGAGCAATCGTTTCCTTTTCAGAAACAATTATGCAGACGTCGATTTTTGCCGTCTCCATGAAATGAGAAAAACCGATGACCTGGGGGATATTCCTGAGAGGTTGCACCTGTGAAGTAAGTGGGGCGGACGGATTGTCTGCTTAACCTTTGTGTTACCTCAAATGTCACAATCTTACCTCATCAATCCATTACACCGAGAAAAATACGGTTATCGCTCCCAACCATCGAGCCACACGCTCATCCTACCCGCTTACATTCAATTGATCTCATTAAATTCAGCCGTTGGATTCGAGTGCAGGATTATGCCCATTCCCAGTCTCAGCTTCTCCAGACAGTTTTCCTCGACCCTACTTCGGGCTGGGAAAATGGCCTCAACACGGCTCGATGGGGCTCGAATCAAGTTTGGACCGTTCGAGGTCACCAACCAGGTGAGTAGAGTAAAAGATAACTGTGTGATTGGGATTTTTGTATAAGTCTACAGGAGTACATGGGCAAAAGTCGCCCCCCGGGTTACCGGCACGACAACGTACAACATATGATGCCTCAAACTTACCTACCTCTTTCACTCAAATCACTGGAGTTCCGAGGCTGACCAGAAGTTACGTTACGGATTACAGGTCTTTCTAAAAACCCCACACTCCTTTGCGCTGGTCAATCTGAAGCCTCTGATCCCGGGCCACATTCTCGTGTGCCCTTTGAACCCGCACCGCCGGCTGACAGACCTGACGGCGCCCGAGCTGACCGATCTCTTCACGACGGTGCAGCTGACGCAGCGCCTCCTCGCGAAGCTCTACTTCCCCGAGAACAACCCGGACGTGGGAAGCTTCAACGTGGCGCTGCAGGACGGGCCGGAGGCGGGTCAGACGGTGCCGCATGTGCACGTACACGTGATCCCCAGGACGCCGGATGACTTGCCGCGTAATGACGATGTGTACAAGGGCATGTCTGGCGAGGAGGGCAACGTAGGCGGCGCAATGTGGGACGAGATGAGGCGACCGGTTCCGGGTGGGGCGATGCCACAGATTGAAGACGAGGACCGCAAGGCAAGGTCAGAGGCTGAGATGGGTGAAGAGGCAGAGAGATACAAGGCGGCGTTGAGAGAATTGGGTGTCGAGTAGGGGGTCCCGGGGGCGGTATCAATTCGAAAACGAGCGATTATGGTTGAACTGAGACTGGCTCCGAGCTTTCCCGGGCATGGGAAAATATGCAGTGCGGCATCTGGCACCACTATCGACTTATCAGTTAACTAAGGCATATCACATGTCAACTTGAACCCGATGGTTGAACTTTGATAACAAGTAATGCGTGTGAAAACGAGCTTCTCAAAAATGCATCCCCACTATCAGACAATCAGACAAAACTGAAACCCCTCCCGCGGGGTAAGCCAGTAATTCGAGATCGATAACGATGGATTGAGGGGAAGAATCCACAACACACCGTCCCAGCAAAATGGCGTCAGCAACAGGAGGCCAATGAAGACGAAGAAATATTGCGTCTTCGAGGAATGGACACCACATGCCGAGAAACGATAAGACTTCCCGTGCATTAAGGTTCATACCCCCGTCCCCAAGAGGGGCTGCCATGTTGACTTCTGGGCCTGGCCCGTCTGGGCCGTCTGTCACGACCCACACAGGGGAGCGAGGGTTTGGGTGGGTGGTATCGTGGCGATATGTCAAGGGAACCGAGAGGCTAACTCTGGAAGGGAGAAAGGCGTGCCATTGTTGCATAATGCAGGCTCGGGGACAGCGCCCAACCGAGTTAGGTGGGACTGCGCAACCTCAGCCTACGACGCCAGGTTTTCTGCTCTCCCTGGAACGGCAAGGTGTGGTGCTGCGAGCCTTGTCAACCCTCGCATAGAGGCATAGCCCAGCTGACGTCGTATTCTAGCGCTCCGGTAGTTGCATCTCGGGTCACTAGCAATCGCCGATTCCTGATAGTCCTGCGGTTGTTTACACACGACTACTGCTTGGGGACACGCCGCCCAATCGGAACCTGGATCGCTATCAAGGGTGCGCCCCTCCCGCTGCAACTCACACGCTGCAGTGTCTGCAACGTCTGCACCAGGCGAATTGTCGAGACCTGCCAAGATTGGCATCCTGCACACAGGTCCATGGGTTGGGCGGGGCCCTCGTCGGAACTGCAGATGCAGATGGGTCGGCCGAGACACCAACGTGCTTGCAGGCAACCACCACCCATCCCAAGCAACGACGCACAGAGGGTGCCATCGGCGGAAGCGAGGACCAGGAGCCGCCCAATCGCGCTGATGATATGTCGGACGTGTGCATCTGAGTCAACGGTCTCACGCAGCGCCCATTGCCGGTCACGCGGGCGTGAGACACTGCGAAGGGGTGGTTGGACGTTGTCTTGACTAAGGATCGAGGGGCGTCGCATTGCATCGGGAGAGAGGGAACTAGCCCAGGACGGTTTCGGAGCAATTGGGCCTAATTTCAGCGTGCCGCCCCACCAGCTCATGCCTGTATCCCGTCTACGCACTTGCGCTACGTGCATGCGTATGCACCTACCGATGCATTCAGAGTTTGTCGCGCCACTGCTGCTGCTCCTCCTGCTCCTTGTTCGCTCGCTCTTGCCGGCCGTTCTCTGGTCATGGGAGGAGGGTAGAAATAGATCGGCCCTCCTCCTCGTCCGCCCTGAGAGAATTCTCCCTCCCCCTCCTTCGTTTTCCATGGACATGGTCTGATCTCTGTTTTCCTCGGTAGTGTAATCAGTTCAAACCAGCTTTTTCTGTCTTTCTCCTCTGAACCTGAAGGTTTATACGTGAAAACCGCCCTTATCTAGACCGCCACCTCCCATCCACGCAGGAGCACTCGCCCACTGACCTGAGTCTTCTCCTTGCACTTCTCCTTGCACTTCCCCTCCACCCTCCACGCAAAAACATAGCCCTTCCCATCCCAATTCTCCATCCCAGTTCCCAAACAACAACTCCCAGTTGCTCTGTTCCATCACCCTTTTCCGTGTGGGAAAAGACATGTCTCTGACAAAGCGAACACGCTCTCAAAACCCAGATGACTTCCCAACCCTCCAACTCTTTCTCCTTGGTAAGTCCATTACTATTATCGTGTTATCAGTTTACCCCTCCTCCCTCGCCTACCACCGACTAACAAGATCCTCTCAGCCATTGTTCGACTCGCCGAACCCATTGCCTTGACCTCCATCTTCCCATACGCGTGGGCTCTTGTGAAGAAGTTCCAAGTCGGAAACGAACAAGATGCTTCCTTCTACGCCGGCCTCCTCATCTCGTCCTTCTCCCTCGCCGAGGCACTGATGGGCATGTATTGGGGTGGCCTCTCCGATCGTATGGGCCGCAAACCTGTCTTGATGATCGGGTGCGCGGGCACTATGTTCAGCATGGTGATGGTCGGCTTTGCCTCTGATATTTGGATGGCATTGATTGGGCGTGCAATCGGCGGTCTTTTGAACGGAAACATTGGTGTCATTCAGACCATGGTAGGAGAACTTGTCTCCAAACCAGAGCATGAGCGTAAGTCATCACTTCCCCATCGCGCCGCATCCATTCGGCACATAACTAACACTTTATAGCACGCGCCTACTCTGTCATGCCTTTCGTTTGGAGCATCGGCACGATCATCGGGCCTTGTATTGGCGGCACCTTTGCCGACCCTCATCTATCCTGGCCCAGCGTATTCCCAAAGGGGAGCTTGTTTGAGAGATTCCCCTATCTTCTCCCAAACCTCCTCTGCGCTGCGCTGCTTGGTCTCAGCATTGTCCTAGGTTTTTTCCTGCTTGATGAAACCCACCCTGATATGCAACCCCGCATATCTCTCCCAGCAGATGCCTATGTGTCTGAGGAGACCCCGCTGATTGAGACATCAGATGCAATGAAGCGTCCTGCAGTGGATCTCCGATCCGAGACATACGGCACCATTCAGACTGAGGCTGAACCTGAAAATGGCATCGCCCGTGAAAAGTCCGGTGGGGAAAACATTTGGTCAAAGCAAATCATTGGCTTGATTCTTGCCCTGTGTATCTTCACATATCACTCGATGACATACGACCATCTGATGCCCATCTTCTTCGAAGATGACCGTGCCCCAACTAAGGAGCTGGTAGGCAACATGGCAAATTGGTCATCTCTCTTCTATTCGCCAGGCGGTCTCGGCTTGTCCGTCCGCTCCGTCGGGATGATCATGGCTGTCAACGGAGTTATTGCCCTGTTCGTCCAAGCCGTCATCTTCCCCATCGCTGCGGAACGGATTGGTGTGTACAAACTCTTTCTCATTGTCACCGTCCTGCACCCGATCGCATATGTGATCGTCCCTATTCTCAGTTTTGTTCCCGAAACCATCCTCTTCACTTCCATCTACCTGTGTCTTGCGGTTCGCAACACTCTCTCTATTACCCTCTACCCGCTTCTCTTGATTCTTCTCAAAGAAGCCACTCCATCTTCCAAAGCCCTCGGCAAGGTCAATGGCTTAGCCGCGAGTGCCGGTGCTGCTTTCCGTATGGTGGCACCGCCTGTCGCAGGATATCTGTACACCTTCGGGAGTCAGCTTGATTGCACAGCACTGGCCTGGTATGGAAGCGCCCTCGTTGCCGTCATCGGCTCCATTCAGTGCTTCATGGTGCCACGTCAACCAAATCACGAATCATCTGAAGAGTGCGGCATTTCGCGCCAGCACTCCGCTTCCTCCGCTGAAGTTTCAGTGGAGAGTAGCTAAAAGTTTGTGTTTTTCCCAACACATTTGTTACACTTCAAAACCCAAGCTGCAGTCTTCTGTCTCACTATCAGCGCGAAGTTTCTAGGGAGCATACTTCTGCTACAGTTGACCTCATCGCAGTTCTTAGGTTTTAAATTGGCAAAGATAGTTGGCAGGTTATGATCAGGTCAGTTGCTACAACAGGCCCGAATAGAGATATAAAATGGGTTTTGGCATGTCTTGAGGAGACACGTTCTGCTTTTGGTTCTTGTTTACATTTTCATGCAAAAGCAAGCGAGCTAGTTTCACATGATTGAGCGAAGCTTGTATTTACAGACATCTTTGAGTTACTAAGCGTTCATGAACAAAAATAAACTTATTATACTATCATTTGCTCTCTAAACATATGACAAGTAGGCTCCGTCAACCAGTAGTTTAGTACCGATGGGAATATTCATAAAAAAACATGAAGTGTGCGAAATGGTGATACTTGGAAGGAATATGTGCAAAAAGGAGACAAAAATGTAGTCAATCAATTCTTATAGGAACAGCCCGATGCGGGGGTCGAACCCGCAACCTTGAGATGTGAACTCGTAAGAGTCTCACGCTCTACCGATTGAGCTAACCGGGCACCATTGCTGGTGATCTGAGTTGGAGTGGGAAGAGATAATTGCTATTATATTGGCTACACAACTGACACGAACTGGTCTGGAAAGATTTTACGAGAAATTGACCATGATTTTCCTAAAAAATAGTAGTGTGACCATCTTACACTCTTATTCATAGGATTTATCTTCATCTCTGCCATGTGGTAAAGATTTCTACCAAATTGGTGAAAAAGGTTCACGAACCTTCCACACTACACGAAAAATTGGAGAAGCTTGTCAGGCCTGTGTCAATCCCGATAAAGCTGGAATAAGAGATATACGGCTAGGGAAGAAAACTCAACAAACTTCAAAGACTGGGCAGCTGTGCCAAATCAAGAAACAGAAGAGGGAAAACAACATCAAAATGGCATCGTTTGAAGAGCTCACGGAGCAGATGGCCAACGCCATGCTGGCACGCCAAAGCTCGAGCACAGGAGCCACCAAGGACTCGACCAGGCCCGACCTGCCGCCGGCGTTCGCGCGGCACGAGGGCATGACGGTGGACGAGGTCTTCCGGGACCTGAACAAGTCGCCGCTGTTCATGACGGAGCTGGAGGACAACGACGACGTGGCGGCGCTGCAGGCGCTGGCGTACGAGGGGACGGCGCTGGAGAACGCGGCGGGCTTCAAGGAGCGCGGCAACGAGTGCTTCAAGGTGCGCGGGTTCGTGGACGCCAGGGAATTCTACACAAAGGGGATACTGGTCCTCGCGGCCGAGGAGCGCAAGCGCGCAAAGGGGGAGGTCACGCGCAACCCGGAGGGCGAGGAGGACTCGGAGGAGGAGATAAAGAGCCAGAGGAAGATGCTCGAGGCCATGTACGGCAACCGGGCGGCGTGCCACCTGGAGCTGAGCAACTACCGCAGCTGCTGGGTCGACTGCGCGGCGGCGCTGCGGCTGAACCCGGCCAACGTGAAGGCGTGCTACCGCAGCGCGAGGGCCCTGCTGGCCGTGGACCGCATCGAGGAGGCGGACGACGTGTGCGCGCGGGGGCTGGAGCTGGACCCAGAGAACAAGGCGCTGCGCGGGGTGGCGGACGACATCATCAAGCGGGCCAAGTTGGTGGACGCGAAGCGGAAGAAGGACGCCGAGCGGGCTGCGACGGAGAAGCGGAGGGAAATATTGCTGCAGGCAGCGATACAGGCGCGCGGGATCCCGACTCGCAGCACGGAGAAGCCGCCTGACATGGAGGACGCGGGGATAGCGCTGGTGCCGAACCCGGACGACCCGCGGAGCGAGCTGTCGTTTCCTACGCTGCTGCTGTACCCGGTTCACTTCGAGACGGACTTCATCAAGGGCTTCAACGAGACGCATACGCTGGATGACCACCTGGGCTATGTGTTCCCCCTACCATGGGACAGTGAGGGTGTGTACACGTCGACAAACGTGGAGTGCTATGTCGAGACTATGGAGGGTGGTCTTCTGAAGATGGGTAGGAAAGTGCCTCTACTCAAAGTCCTGAGCACCGGGAAGGTCGAGGTCGTGGACGAGGTTGTGCGGATATATGTCCTCCCCAAAAAGGAGGCAGAGGGGTGGATAAAGAAGTTCAAGGAGCAAAAGGCGGCCATGAAGAGGTAACGAGCATACACAAAAGTTCTGCGATGACAACGATGCAATGAATTTCTCTATCAAAATAACAAAACAAACAATAAATGCCCAGGTGACTGGTTCCAATCTGAAATCTATGGCTGATGGTTTCTCGTAGACATAATGAACTGTTTTGGGATATATCAAACGCAACTTTTTTGTTATCGGGATGCCTTAGCCCTCCGATACTGTCCATCACACTTAACATGATCCTCCTAGTAAAACAAAAAAAAGAAATCGCTTTCCCTCCCTGGGGTATCAGAGCGTTGGGGTAGCAAATGTGCCAACTGCAATGTTCTCAAACGGAGCCGTATCTTGGGCGAGGCTCTATCGAGTTTGAACCCATTGCCTGATTTCTGCAGTAATTGCCGATGTTCATGAGAATTGCTGCTGCCTCCATCTCTTGGTAGGAGTAATTCGTCCCGGCCAGAGTGATGGTATGTCTGGGTTCGGGCTGACTCTGAATTAGCCGGGGATCCAACTGGATCTGATCACACGGCCGTGACTCGAGAGAACATCCTAGCGGTGTATGGCTTAGCAGTACCGGAACTGCGTTTTGAGTATTGCTGCGAGGCGCTGTGGGCACTCTGCTCTGAACGTCCGCTTCTGCTTCAAGCCGAGGTCGCTTCGGCCTCTCCTGAGTTTCAGGATGGCGAAGCCAGTATCGAGTCTCGTTCTCTGTCCGGCCTCGTTTCTGAGCTGTAGGCAAAGCGGGAGTTTGGTCTATCTGGGGTTGTCGGACGGGTGTAAATAACGTATTGGGGTGGACTGGAAGATCTTGCTCCGGCTCGGAGTTGATGGAAGGCAGATGGTTCTCGTCAGTCAGGGGCGGACCAAACCCGGTGCCATATTGGTCAGGCCATGGCATACCACCACTGGCTGATCGGCTATGCTGAATGGATTCGCTCGTACGGTGTTTACGAGGCTCAGCTCCCAGAAACGGGTTGATGATCAGATCTTGGTCTGATCTCTGTCGAGAGTGTTCGGTTGGTTGATACCCTTGACGCGGGTAACTGGTCGGTCTCTTCGTAAGGCTGAGACTGGAATGGCGGTAGGCGGTAATCTCGTGACTAGCCTCGCGGATCAGACGTTCATCAATGACCATGCGTCCGAAGAGCGTCGTGCCGGGTCGAATGCAGTCGTCGGGGAACGTCGGGCCAAAGATGGGGATCAACGCGCCTGCTATCGGGTAGCAGAATGTTGCGCAGACTGCTCTTGCGCATTGGTAGGGGACCCAGTAACCTGAGATAGAGATTGTCAGTCATCGGCCTCAAATCATCTACAGCGGGTGTTCCTGTCAGAGAGGGAGACTCTACCTTGGGCCACACGGTTCCCGCCCGTCATGTGAAACGTCACGTCCCGCAATCCTTTGTTTAAATCCAACATCTTGGCCGGTCCGGTCTTTGTGCTGATTAGCGGCAGTTCTAATGGTCAGTATCGGTGTACAATAGGCCATACCTTCTTGTGTCCGCGGCTTTTGAAGAAAGGGCTGATGCGGACGAAACCACCAACGTAGTCCCACATCACATCGTACGCCCGGTTGTCACTCGGATCGGTGAATCTGTAAACAAAAACTAAATGTCGTGTTTAGCACGGGGAATCGAGAGTCGGAGGGCATGCAAAACCAGGGCGGCAAACTTACCATGGAAGCTCTCCCGTCCTGTCTTCTCGAAGACGTCCTTTTTGTCGCTGCTGTAGGGGATGTGGGCACAGTACTGGCCAATCTCGCCAAACGGATAGATGCCAAAGCTTTGGATCTGACTGTAGGCTTCTCTGTCGAGGGACTCAAAGGGAGGGTACTTGATAACGCCTTGGGGCTTGGTGTATGTCAAGTCGCTGGAGTCCCGGGACTTCTTTTTTCGGGGGAACGGTTGCTGGTCCAGTCCAGGAATCATTGAGTCGTTCAAGTCCGACGATGGTGATGATAGCTCCGAGCCCGATTGTTGCGAGAATGGAGATCTTGTGCGAGTCGTGCCATGGTTGAGGATGGATTGGATTGGAAGCATGTTTCGGTCAGCCAGTGTTGCCCATGCGTAGGAGGAAAGCGACCAGATGGTTGATTTAGTTGCCTGAAGATGAAGAGAAGGCGATGAATTGGTGGTTTGTCTTTTTCCAGGTTATTGTGAGCACAAACTTCTTGAGGGGAGCAATCAACGATATAAGAGAATGGGCAGCTTCGTCACCGACAATACACAATACCTGCGAAAAAGGCGGGAAGGGAAACTGACCTAGGCGGTAAAGGACTACGTCTAGAACCAGCCCAGCTGCATATTGCGCCGGGTGTAGATGATGAAGCAGGCAGACTGATTTAGTCCCAATCCCACTTGTGACCAACACAATGCTGGCCGGTCCCGATGGTCCAGCTGTATCCTTGGGCTGGCCTGTGAAATAGCAGAACCGTTCTCTGGTGTACCCACCCTTGATTTCAGAAGAACTTAGACGAAAGCCACAAAGTGATAGCCTCACAGGAAATCTGACAGAAAATAGAAACCAGTAGTCTACTTTTTGGGTGTAACTTGGAAGTAGTGACTAAGGGAGCAGGCAAACGCATCAAAACCGTCGGACCGCCATCGGCTACTCTAGCGACAGGTCATGGGGAATTGTCACGCACATGAAAAAGCTAACCTGCCATGGGACTATGTCTCAAGAGCTCGGGTTTCCCACGGTGTTCTCAGCCCTTTGGCTCGAATGTCCCAGCCGCCGGATTATGAAGATACCTTCATCGACCCAAGGCAGGCCAATCTCTTGTACCATGAACACAGTAAAGTATATCAATTCCACACCCCCTGCTGTTGTCTCAAGCCACAGTTTATGGTTCGCTCTGGGGGGTAGAAGGTACATGCTGGGAGAAACTACTCTGCCGTGTACTTAGCCTAAGCCATCTTGAAACGGGGAGGAGGGACGGGAGTTGTAAGCAGCGGGTAAGGGTATTAGAGACGCAAGTACCAGATCGTACTGGCTGGCCAGGGGCACAATACGGTTCAGTGAAAGTACCTTGAGGGGGTGTGTATAGTTAGCTGAACATGGGTCAGACGGATGAAGGCATCAATCACACTTGGCCCATGCACCTTGCTCATCGTGTCACACGGGGTGGAGGACCTACGACTTGCAACGATGGACCGGTCAATCAGCCCAATATTCTGGCACAGAATCCTGTCCTGTGTGTTTGGCATAGCCGATGTCTGGACGAAGTGGTAGGGCCCAGGGGAGAAGGGCTCGCAGTGATCACACTCGCCGAATTGTGATCTTAGATCTCTGGAACATATATCTCCAGAAGGGTATGAGGTACGGATATCTCTAGGCCAGTCGACATTGTGACTTGGAACATGTCCGAGCTTGTTTCCAGCCGGCTGAGGGCATCTCGTCCCATCTCTCACGAGGGATTGATATGCTTGATGCACCATTGGGAGGCAAAGAGAAGCCATTCCGCAAAAACTGTGATGTGTAGCTGCCAAGTTTTCATATATTGGTCCCGTGGTGAGTGACACAAATCGACAGGAAATTCTCCGATTAGGCACAAGGTTGGTCGTTGACACCAGGGGGATATGACCTTGAGAATTCTTGATCATATTCTGACGTATAAATGCCTCTGGTCAGTTATCATCGTGCCCTTATTTCTTTTTCCCAACTTCGAGATGCCTTCGCAACCAGGCTAGAAGCCTGTACTTCCGAACTCGTGTACCTGTCCGGGAACGGGACCCCCGTGGGTGTCTTTCCAAGAAGAGAGTAGGCAAGGCACTGTACAGAAGCCACAATGCAGAACTTGTCAGTAGACCTCACTTGATGCATGCTGCTAGTTTGTGACATCAGGGAATCACGCGGCAGCGGCTCGGCAATGCTGTGAAGTGATCTGATACGTGATCCCTGACACGTACGTGATAGAGACATCAGCCGAATTCCCTCGCTTGACTGAGAAGTGAGCGGTTCGATACCAGCTACTGCCACCCTGGTAGCAATACGCGGCGAGGCCGGCACTATGGGCGCCACCCAACAGAAGACGGATTCTGGTGAGAGCTGCAACCATACTCTAAGCTTATCTGGGATAGCCAGAGGATTTCATTGAGTGACCCTGGCGGGACTTAGCACGCCAGATCACTCCAGGTTTCAGCGTCTCCCACAGAACTCGTTTGTGGCACGAGAGAGTGTGTGCGTGGACCAGCCATCAAAACCATATCCATGTAGCACCCGCAAACGCTGAAACCGTTGAGCACGTCGATTTCGGAGCATTCTCCCTTCTTTCCTCAAACCCGCGTTGCCATGAACGTCCTGTGGCACATGATGGCAGTGTGGGAGAGTCAAGTTTGACAAGTTGTTTTGTCTTGGTGCGGCCAAACGCTTGCATCGAGTCGCCATGGCACAAATGCAAGGAAAGTGTCATTCTCACCAGCATGGAGCAGCGGGGGAGCCAGATTCTGGTAAGACCAGGACACATCGCACTTGTTTCTGCTTGACCAACCATCCCAATCCAGTGGTGCGAGACACCGACCAACCCCCAAGGCTGGGTGATAATTGTCCCTAGCTGCGCTCTCTTGACGATCTCTTCACGCAAGGCTGCTCAGCAGGTATGAACAAACCTAGAGGTGGCTCGCCCATTGACTCTCGAATTGTGAATCAACATACGACCAAGCACGAACATTAGGGGTACTAGCGATCTTTGTCGTAAAGGGGCAACCGAACTCTGCTGCATTGTTGCCAATAGTAAATTGTCTCAACATAGCTACAACTTGCCATTAATTCACTCCTCTATCTGGCAAGGAAGAAGGGATAGTAGGTATTAACTGATGGTCTTGCGTCTGGCATTTCTGTCTGGAAGCCATCGCCACCGAAGAAGCACACCGGTAATGCATGTGCCTGCCAATTCATCCCAACATCGCCTATCAAAGAACCGCTCAAACAGTGTGCCCAGCAAATATCCACCATTAGGACACAGGCGCTGGTATGCCTTCAGACAGATGATTGCAGTGGCAGCGACTCCATTCCATTCAACCCCA